GCTTCCGAATGGTATATTCCTTACAGCATGCTTTTCCTCCATTCTATTGATAGCATTGGTTAAGCGCTCTATAGTTTTTTTTTTATAGAGGTGGGCTGAGGGTTGTCACCTTGAGCACAATCGTTATCCCATTGAAAATTCCTTGTGATACTAGTTTTGCAAGGATTAGTATGGGACTCATTTCGAGAGGCCAAACTGTGGTTTATGGTGGGTTTCTTTTAAATGTTTGGGAAGTATAACAGAAAAAGTAAAAGGAATTTTGTATGCGATATGAACTGTTTTTTACAAGGCCCTTCTTCTAGCGCAAATTATAGAGGTACGAAATTGATGTAGCCTATTTTGATAAACTTAATTTGTAATTTTTGCAAGGTATTTAACTGAAATTGAAAGTTAACATCAGTGTATTAATCAAAGTGTAGAAAGAATACAAAAGTATTGAGGTCATGGCCCATGGAGGGGACCAATTACCTCAATTTATAACACAATTTTGGCAAGTTGACCACCTCAATCACATCATCTATGGTAACTTTGTGATGCCATCTATAGTATTTTCCTTAATAATCGTGCTATTACATTCAGTTTGGATGATTTTAAATGGATGAAGAGGTCGGCCTCCCAGGTCATCATGACTATTTAGATAATATGCAATTATTCTCATCATTATTTAGTTTTGATTGGTTGGCTATGAGGTGCTTCCATCATCCTTGCCAAGTATAGGTCGAGGGAAAGGTGATGACGTTAGATAGTCAAATCAGTGATGATAATATTTCTTCAATCACGACAGAGCTCATCGAACTGAGGCATTCTAGGATCCAAGATATTTCTTGGAATAGTAATTGTTGACTTTGGTTTGAGAGTCCTACTTAGCCCTTGTTTGACACCCATTTTGGAGAAAAAATAAATTCTGGAATAGTGATTGATGGAAGAATGTGTGGTTGGAAAGTAATGAGAATTTTTGGTTTTATGTGTAGTATTATTTTATTGATAGAATGTATGGTTGAAATGAAGAAAGAAAAAAAAATGAGAATGAGAATAAGAATAAGAACAAAATGGATGTCAAACGGGGGCTTAATTGGAAGAGTTGTTACCAAACCTCTATTAAGGGATCCATGTCAAAATATTTTATAAGTTAGTTTTGAACAAAATATGTTGATTGAAAATTATTTTATGGAAGGTAAAATTAGAAGAGAATGTGAGAAACGGCCAAAACACATATATTCAGTGGATTGAGAAAAACAGTCAAAATTACACAATTATCGATTTTGGGTGATTTTTAAATCATTCAAAATTGGTGCTAAAAAAATTAGTAAGCACTTGTTTTCTCAACGCCTTATAAATGGTTTCATTTAAAACCGATCAAAACCCGTGAAGAGAGAGAGAGAGAGAGAGAGAGAGAGAGAGAGACCCTTAGATGAAGAAACTCTCCCCACCTATGAACTAGGGGAAGAAATATCCTCCATTTCTCCTTCTTTTGGCTTGCGAACCGGGTAGAAATCCCCTTAATTAGGATGGTAGTGGTGGCATATATGCAGCGACTGGGTGGCGATGATGAGGTGCACAAGGGGTGGGGGAAAATGAATAAATATTATTTTTGCTATGTTTTTTTTAATTATTATTATTCAATTATTTTAATTTTTTAATTGAAAAAAATAATATTATCAATTTACCATTTTCAAAATCAATCATGGTCTATTAACATTTTTTTTTTTTTTACGAAAACCATCCAAAAAACCTTGCTCAGCACATGTTTGAGAGATTGGGACCATCATCGTCACGAAGGTTTGAATTGAAATTGTGCATACAATTATCCCTCAGTAAACCCCTAAATATTAAAAGTTCATATGATAACCACGTACATATAATTTCGTCAAAAAGATTCTGAATTTAAGGGTCTATTTGAGCTCCATTTTTTGTGTAGAAAATATTTTGAAATAGTAAATTAATTGAGTATATGTCATGTTAGAAATGATAAAAAAAAAAAAACCACTTGTACAATCATTAAATGATTGTAAATTTTACCTCTCACATTAGTGTAGGATTTATGTATAATATTATTTTATTGAAAAATGGACTTGAAAAGGGGAGAGATTTTTTTTTAAATGGAAATCAAACAAGTATTGGAACCTTGGCTAAGACTAAAATTGAGACTTACCATACCATTTGCTCGTCATCCATTCGATCAAAATAAGAAGAATAAATGGCTACAGTGACAGTGACAGTGACAGAACTTAAATTTGTTACTTCTCTCAGTGAGTCTCAAGCCTTGCTCAACGAGACTCGACAATCTCTAATACTAAAATCAACTCGGAATAATCAACAGTGAACCAGAATAAATGAACTTAACATTTATAAACCCTATAAGGAAGTCTCGATCTTGTCATGGAGAGACACAACCAAGTTGTGCGCGTCGTCTAAGAGCTTCCATACATCGAGATGCCCGGCCATCGAATTGCACTCCCGTAAAATTTCGTCCATGCTATTATACCTTTCTATGATTTGTTTCCTTCTTTGCAATACAGAAGCTGCAATTGCATAAAGCAACAGATCTTCTGTTGGAGGTATTCGTTGCCTTATCCTGCTCCATGCAGATTTCCCAATTCCAGCCCTGATGGCCGCCTGATCTGCCCACATGACCTCCCAAAGGCACAGAGTTTGTTCAAATGTTAATTCCCTTCTGAAGAGAACCACCACCATTCTGTACACGAAAAAACAATCTTCAGCCTGGAGTGTCTGCAGGTGCTTGTAAAGACGTGAATCCTTGTACTTGATGATTTTCGAAACAGTGTTCAGCTGCCTTCTGATTCCCACTTCATCCAATCGGAAATTATGCCGAGCCTTCTTCATGAAACCCACGAAACACCAGAAAGCTTCATGGTCCTCTGTCATAACTGAAATTATAGGAGAGAGTAAATCACTCATCCCCTGGCAATATCCAATTTCAGGGTCATAAAGTGCATATGCTTCGAGAATGGCAACTAAACGGGCAGCATGAAAGATTCTGCATGGCTCAAGGTGATCATAATCTTTCAATCCCACTGCCTCAGCAGAATGGCGTGCTTTAGTATCAGACACTGCAGCCTGAATTGGGGAATATGATGTCCACTCTCCATTAGCACGAACAGCGTCAAGGCGGATAATTCTCTGCCAGGTGACAAAATCTTCTGCTTTATGGAGTTTCGACTGGACTTCCACCTTTAAAGGAGAAGGATCCTCCTTTGGGGGCATCCCAGGAGTGATATAATCTTCTGCATCACGGAGTTTTGACTGGACTTCCACCTTTGAAGGAGAAGCATCCTCCTTTGAGGGCATTCCAGGACCATTCTCCTCACTGCTTTCTGCGAAATTTAATGTTTGACTCACTTCAGGATCTTCTGTAGAGTCCGAGTCCGATGAATCAGAGACAGTGACGACATCAGGATCTGCAACTTGTCTAGAACCTGCACATTCATCCATCACTGTGCCAATTGAAAGGTCCACTTCCTTATTATCTGAGAACCTATCCTCACTACAAGGGAGTTCCCGGCTGGTTGAAACTTCAGAATCAGAAGACTCTCTGTCTTTAAGGTGACTTTCACAGTCCCCACTGCTTGTTTGACCAGTTTCATTTGACTTAGTGAGTTCATCATCATGTTTAAGAAGTTGGTGACACTGTCTCCGTAGTTTCTCATATTCCTTCCTGTGTTCATTAACCAGATTGCTAGTGGAAGTAATTATAGAATATAGTAAACCCAAATATCAACTAATACCCTTAAATGAAAAATAGGAGTCCATAAATTAATATTTAGACTAGGTAGCAGAGAGAATTAAAAGGCAATGCACCTTTTCTCAGTTCTTATGGCATCTCTTTCCCTTTTGGAACTGGATAGGCCATAGCTGCAAAAACAAATAAAAGTCTCAATAATTTCTACATAGCAAGGGGACACAACGAAAAATATTTAACAAGAGCAGACGTCGAACTGAAGCAACCGAAAACAACTGATCTAGATACTAACTTAATTAGGACCAAGGAGGTGCTGTTCTCTTTTATTTTCAAGTTCTTTTATTTTTATTTTTTTCTTGTTTAGCAGGCAGGCAAGCTTTCTCTGTTCTGTTTCCTTGTTGGGAGGGGAGGGGCAAGGTTCAACTCCTCGTATAGTAAGGTATGCAGAAAGAACTTTAAGGCACTCATATGATGTTTTCTGAGTATATCGCCTCTTATTCTTCAAAATCACTTGCTAGATCAAAATATTAACATAAATAGATCTCCTTCTAATTATACTCAAAATAATTTAGATTCTATTAAGAATACTAAAAACAGATTATTCAATGAAAAACCAGATTGAGAAGACCACGATAAAAAGGACTAAAAGTAAGCACTAAAAGTAAAAAGGAAACTTACACTAAAGCAAACTGAGAGAGCATAAATATAATAATCTGAGCCCCATTTTGTAAGAAAATGCATTATGGATTAGTGATTTTTGTGGAGAATGTGTGGTAAAAAATTAGGGAAAAGTTTTTTCGATTTACGTGTAAAATTATTTTATGGAAGAATGTGTCGTTGAAAATGAATTTTGAAAAAATTGAGTTTTTGAAAAAATAGGGGCCATAGGCTAAATGTCATAACGTATCATACAATAATGTGAAGGTGCTTTTTTCTTTTACACAAATTTAAGAATATTACTTCAAGAATGCAGTTATTTTTTGGGAACCCAGTTCGGTGGATAAGAGATTAAAAGGGTTGAATTACAGCAACTTTGAAACCAATTCATTGTTATATCACTTTTTCTCGGCAACTTGTTCCAGAAACGTGGTTGAGTATACTTTCAGGCATTAACACAGCAAAATTTAGCTAATAAAGGACACTTCTACAGACAGTTCAGAATAACTAGCAACGCAACTAATTATATGTGAAAAAGCCCAAGCGACTTACACTCCAAGAAGAAATGGCCAGACCTCTGCCCTAATACTTGGATCAACACCCTGCATAAAGCAGTCAAGATATTGAAATTTAAACCATTTTGCCAAATATAACCTTTTGTACAAGTACATACTTTAAGATAAAGAAAACTTATAAGCTACGTGAGAGATAACTCACTCCACTGCGAACTTGCTTCAGAAATTTGACTCCACCATCCAGAAGCTTTCCATCTGGTGTAAATAAGCTTCTCCATTGCTGAGGTGAAAGTGCATATTTTCTTTTTCCACGAGACCATGGTGATTTGATACGACCCCTTGAAAAAGACAATAGACAATAGTATTAATAATACGGTGTATCAGAATTCCATATTAACAGTTGAAAAAAAAAAAAAGACAAGATGTCAATCATAACATTTAGAGCGTGTTCGGTAGAGATTAAAATCGGGTTAAAATTGAAAAACTAGCCGTTATTGTTGACTTTTATTAGATGAGTGGGACCCAATAACGGCTATATTTTCAGTTTTAATTGAATTTTAAGCACGACCGAACACGTATTTAGAAAAGAAGTTTTCGAAGTGAGAAATCAATTATTTTAGTAGAAAGCACATAGGACAGCAACACAACTACATCTTTCCAAAATACTTCCTATGGTATTAATATCAAAGTGAAACAAGGGGAAAGAAAGATAAAATTGATAACTTCCAAATTATTTACGAAATATAGAAGAACATGAAAAATCCCACAGCAATCATATACCATCTCAAATCTAAGCATGCCAAATCAATATTTGACGCGAGATAGAAAAGAAAGACAATGTCAGAAATCACAATTGAGTTCACCTTATTTGTTCAGGATATTAAGACACGGTCATTCTCCCTGATGAAAAATCCAGTTTAAGACTTTCGAAGATATTCTAGCAACCACAAGGTAGAAGGCTTCTCTTAACAATGGGAAGGTGAACCATGATGGACCTAAACGAGAAGATTCAGTTACTAAATAATCATAAGTCTTCCTCTTCACTCTAGCACTCAAAAATTTCGTATTACAGGATCTCAACCAAATGTAGTCTATTTTCAATAAGGTAGATACTATATTACATATTTCATATACAGGAGAATTGGCCACCGCTTCTGATGCACGGTCATTTCTTGAAAAGATATGACCTCTTTGTTATAACTGTAATAAATCGTAATGGAGATGCAGCTTTTCTGAAAACAATGTATGCTAGCACATACTCGTTTTCAAACTAAACTATCAGCAGGACAAACATTTGAACTGGAGATTATACTTTTATGTATGAGGCCTGAGGAGATCACGGCCACCAGTTCATAGCATTGAGCACGTCATGGTTATCTTTTGAAAAATGCGATGTCTTGCTTCAAAGACATTAGATAATGGCATTCTGCACATTCAGTACTTTTATGTACAAGGCCTGAGGATATCACACCCACCAGTTCATAGAATTGAGCACGTCATGGTTATCTTTTGAAAAATGCGATGTCTTGTTTCAAAGACATTAGATAATGGCATTCTGCAGATTCAGCTTCTTTCACAACAACGTAAAGTAGTATGCACTTAAATTTTAAACTAAACTATCAGGACAAAATACTTGAAATTTTCCACGAGATGATCAATTCTCTATAAAGACACTAGACAAAATCGTACTGCAGATACAGCTTCTCTGAAAATAATTGTGAATCTTAGCTATAGAAGGACAAACATTTAAACTGGAGATTATAATGTTCTATTAGCCTTGAGAAAGTGAAGGGATCTGCCTCTAGCCATGAAGGTCATAGAACGAAGGAAAAATACAATATCAGACCAGAAATGAGCACATTTCTCTACAAACATTGACTTGAATATACGGTATAATCTGAGGCTCAGAATGGATTCATTTACATTCGACAATTTAATCTTAACCAAACTAAATTATTGCCATGAACTAAGTAAGCTAACACCATTTACAGATGTCACATTACTTACCAAGTAAAACTAAAACCTAAACACCACATGTTGGCATAGTAACACAAGCAAACTTATATAACATGTGGCCACATTGTAAGATCTACTATCAATGGTTTGCCAGAATTGGAAATCTCTTGTTACTAAAAGAACCCTGATCTCGATTATAATATCTTTCAGTGCCTCGTGCAACTAATAAAAAGTCATAAAGACTTCAAACATTAACCTGGAGCACAACAAAAGCAGGTTGAGGCACAATGTGTAACAACTAAGGTAGTCCTTGTAGTCATAGGAAAACCGTCTCAATCACTATTTCAAAATATTAAGCCCCTGTTTGAGCCACATTCTCATTTTCATTCTTTTACTCATTTTTAACTACACATTCTTCAATAGAATAATATTTTCCATCACATCAATAACTTTTTCTTCTTTTTTAACCACATATTCACCATCACATCACAAAAAAAAATGCATTCTTTCCATTTTAATATGCATCAAACACATTCTAAGCTTGGAATGGGAAAAAAATATCTAGACAAATAGACTTTTACGAAAAATTTTGGCTTAAAATAGATAAAAGCAACGTTGAGAAATTGTTAATCTTTCGCAAACATTATTTCATTGTACAACTCGTCATAATCTACAATATAAATTTCGACCTCCAACTTTGTACTAATTTCCAGGAATATCAACTTATAATTTCCACCCACTTTGTAATAATTTACAAGGAAAAATTTATTTCATTACATTTCCTCATAGAACATATAAGTGGTTATAAATTCAAAATCCGTCTATTGCTCACTTCTGAGATGTCTTCCATTTCAAAAATTAGATCCTTAGAAGCAAACCACATTCCACACTCACTATTCTTTCAAATTGAATAGATGAAACTAAATGTGTTGTCTTATTTCAATCAATAAAATATAAGATACTAGAATTATGCAAATGCAACAGTCTTTCAGATCACTCGAGACTCCAAAAGAAAAATATACATGTCATTTACTCTGAGATGTCTTCCATTTCAAAAATTTGATCCTTAGAAGCAAACCACATTCCACACTCACTATTCTTCCAAATTGAATAGATGAAACTAAATGTGTTGTCTTATTTCAATCAATAAAATATAAGATACTAGAATTATGCAAATGCAACAGTCTTTCAGATCACTCGAGACTCCAAAAGAAAAATATACATGTCATTTACTCAACCTCCAAAACAAAATAACTTGTCCCGCAACAACAAAAACAAAAAATAAAATGCAGAAGTGAAGCTGGACGCCCTAAAAAGGCAGTACCAGAGAAAAAGGATATTTCTAAGAATGGCTGAAGAGAAAGGATAGGGAGAAGGGGGGAGAAAAGCAATTTTTGAGAACTAAAAGATCTCTGAACTGAGAAAAAAAAACACTGAAGACAGTAGAAGAATTAAGTGGTGAGGACAAGGCTACTACGAATCGAACCGATCTCAGTGAATCTAAGAAGATGGCGTATTGGAAGATCATGCGGGTTACGAAACACTTAATGATGACAAGTTTGACGCCCAATGGCTCTCATCTATGAACCATTAGAAAAAATAAGTGAATTTACTGAACTTCCCAGGGTTTCAATGCCTGGTTTCAAAATTATTCGGTCATAATTTTTTATATTTTTCTTTACCTAGAGGTGTAAAATACGACAGCCACCAAGGCGACGCCGGCCAATGCCGTGAAGGCGATGGTTGCTCCCGTATTAGAAGCCGCCGCCATGTTCTTCCCGAATCCGCCGCCGACAAACACTCGCTGACTGATGGCTACAACCACATCAACCGCCGTGCCGGAGCGCATGGATGGAGGTCTGGAATGACGATTTTACCCTTGAGCTTCTGTAGAACGCCTAGTGGTTTCCACCATTAACCAACTAAAACCCCACCGTATTTCTTCTTCGTCGTCTCTCCCTCTCTTTCTAAAGTCTAGAGAGAGAAGAACCAATTCCGTGTGTACTGTGTAACCACGTCGTTCACTTAGGTCATTTGATTTGACAAAAAAGGTTATGCTTCCATTTCCCTTTTCCTTGTAGCTATTTAGGTNCATTTCCCTTTTCCTTGTAGCTATTTAGGTTTGTTTGATTCAAAAATGAAATTTGGGTGAAAAGAGAACAAATTGTAGAAAATTGAATTGTTTAGAACTTATTTTACTGGAAATGATAATTAATTATGTTTGATTGGTATAATTTTTCACCAGGAAAATGTTAAAATTTTCTACCTTTTGGTATTCGTTTGGCTTTATTTTTTATGAAAATTGTCAATTAAAGAGATAAATTTTTTTACAATTGGGAATAGATTTGTTTTTATTGCAAAATTTAAAAAAAAATAAAAAAACAAACAAACAAAAGGATGGAAAGGTGGGAATTGAAATTCAACTAAAGTGGCAAGGTGGAAAATCAATTCTTGGGAAAAAAAAATGTTATCAAACATGGTAAAAGTAGGAAATGAAATTTCAATTCCATTTTTCATGGGGAAAAAAAAGGGCTTATCAAAAGGACCCTTAGGGTGTGTTTGATATACCATGTTTTCCCTAGAAAATGGAGAATCTTTTCCTTTTCCACCCTTTTCAGCTGTTTGATGATCCTTTTTTGCCATGGAATTCTTTTTCCTCCTGACACCTTCACGCACCAATTTTCTGACTTTTCCATGAATTTGTTTTCTTGTGTTTTAGTTGGTTTTTCATTTTCCAGCTT